TCTCTTGCTCTAAAATAAGTGGATCTGACCTTGCCTTTTGTTTGGATTTATTTTGTATTTGCAATTCTTTATGCTTGTATTTGGGACATTTTCGAGATTCTTGTTTAGCTATTTTCTCTTGCTCTAGAATAAGTGGATCTGACCTTGCCTTTTTTTTAGATTTATTTTGTATCTGAATTTCTTTTTGTTTGAATGCTTCGTCTGACCTTGCTTTTCGCTTTGACTTTAAAGTGAATTCTTTATCTTTTACTTTGAATTGATCACTTTGCCTTCGCTTTTGCATGTACAGTCTCATGTAGGCTTTTCTATCACTTTCTTCTTCTTTATTCTTCTGTTGCTGTTTTTGGTATTGGTGTTTAAAGTACTTCCCAATCAATATTGTATCATTTTTTACTTTTTTTTTAAGCCCAACTGCAGGATAACTATATGTCCTTTCTTTTACTTTATGGTCAATAGACTGTTGCTTAATATTTTTTTTAACTACTTCACATAATTGTTCATCTTTTGGCATGACAGAAAAGTTAGTGGATTTCTTTTGCTTTTTGTAAGAAACTGTTTGCCAAACATCATCAGCATCAGTTTTGCTGATATCAGTTATTTTCTGCTGATTGTTAATGTACATATTATGGTATTGTGAAGTGCATTGAACTACATTAAAGTTTAAAGGCAATATTTCATATTGGCTCATTATATCAATATTTGCACTTTCATACATAGCATACATAAATGTGACAAGGTTTTCAAGTTTATGAAATGACATCAATACAGACTTTCCATCAACATTTGACAGTCCATATTCTCCATGTGAATGTGAATCAAACAGCCAAAACTCTTCATCTTTAAGAAACACCGCAGAACAAATTGATCCAATCATGACCAATGCATGGTTTGCTCTTTGAAATGTTGCATACAAGGCTTGATGTAAAGTTGGCAAGTCTGTATCTCCGAAATGCTGAATAGTCAATCCTGATACAATGTTTCCTTTTCTTATTTGTACAACTTTGGACAAAACATTCACTTGATCAGGCATTTCATCAAGACTTAACAATCAATGCTTAAATCTACCAAGTTGTTTTAAATTATTAACAACATTCCTGTACAGCTCATCTCCAATGTTTAAGACCTCATCAATATTTTCTGTTGTTATCAAATCAGAATATTTTGAATATATCAAAGCACATAATGAGTTAATAGTACATTGACTACCTCTAGTTTGAATAGAAAATCTATTATTTGCTTGACTGAAAGAACCAAATACTAACGGCAAGCAGCTGAAGGGCATACCAGTGCAATATGACTCATAAGACTTATTCACAAGTTTGCTTTGTTCTTTTTCCATTGCAGAAGATGTATTGCATATTCTTTGATTCAAATTTGAGTTTCGAGATAATATATGTTCCATTTCGGAATATATAGCATTTGTTTTGTTTGTGTTTTGTTTTGTGTTTGCCGTACTGATGGACGGACTTTCAAGCGCCCTGAAAGCTGGTGCACTGACCAGACTTACATCAGGTGCTTTTTGGGCTATGAATGCCGTCAAATTGACTGGACCTACATCAGTTGCCCCAGCGACCATGTCTGCCGGCACGATGACCGGACCTATGACAGGTGCTGATGGGGCCCTGTCTGCCGGAATAATGACGGGACTTATGACAGGGACTACATCAGGATCTTCTGCCAACGTCTGCTCCCTCGTTACCAATATTGCCCTCCTGGCCTTTGCCTTCTTCCATGCTTTACTGAGTGGCATGTCTAACTGAAATGATAAATAAGCAAGAGATGAGATACAGCTCTTTGTTACAGATTTTACAACATAAAAACATGTTTAGGTCATGAAATTTTGTGTTTTGCAATCAGAAAAGTTCAGGCACAAAAACCATATTTTCATGTTAACAGAATGAGTTTACAAAAATATTGTCAAAATTTGGCATTTGCTTAAAAATCCCGATTTAAGCTACTTTAATTCACATTTGCTTACACTGATAAAGCTGATATTAATAAAATTGGAATTAATTAACAGGATCAATAAAATAGTCTAAAGCTAATTTTATCTTGACTTTTTTCTTTTTAAGAACAAGCAAACTCAGCCTTGAAACTCATTACTACTGTTTTACCCATTAATTTCAGCAAAGACATACCTTTTCTATGCTGGAAAGCTACCACTGGAGCAGTTCTAACAGTTTCCAATGAAACAACGATGTGGCAGAAGCACTTTGTAATTTCAGAAACACTAGAGTATCACAACCTTATGTCACAAGGTATTAAATGTCACTAGCACTATAAGTGTCACAATGTATCACATATCACAAGCACAATGCACAATCACAAATATGTTGTCTCTGTTATATATCACAATGTTATTTCACAAAAAGTCTTGTCAATAAATATTGTTTATCTATGGTTATCTTTCAAATAGTCTCTTCTATAAATGTTTGTGTCCAATGGGACGATACTATGAACAAGAGGGCCATGATGGCCCTGAGGTCGCTCACCTGTATATAGCCCCCCCCCCCCACCCCCGGGCCAATTTTTACCAAAGGGCTTTTATTTGTTTATTTGAACAGACTTGGTAGACACCCATAAGAAGATGTTTCATGCTAAACATCTAAGTTCTAGCTCATTGGGTTTTTTAAAAGAAGATTTTTAAAGTTTTTACTATACACATATAGTTAAAAACAATGACACCCCTGGGGCCGGGCCAGTTTTGACCACAGGGCTTTTATTTGAACAAACTTTGTAGACACTTACTAGAAGATGTTTCATGCTTAATATCTAAACTCTAGCTATTTGGGTTTTTCAAAGAAGTTTTTAAGTTTTTGCTATACACATACAAAGAAAATCAATGACCCCCGGGGCGGGGCCAATTTTGACCCCAGGTCTTTTATTTGAACAAACTTTGTAGACACTCACTAAAAGATGTTTCATGCTAAATATCTTAGCTCTAGCTCTTTGGGTTCTTTAAAAGAAGATTTTTTAAGTTTTTGCTATACACATATAAGGAAAATCAATGACCCCCGGGGCGGTGCCAATTTTGACCCCAGGGCTTTTATTTGAACAAACTTGGTAGACACCTATTAGAACATGTTTGATGCTAAATATCTTAGCCATAGCTCTTTGAGTTCTTTAAAAGAAGATTTTTTAAGTTTTTACTATATGCATATAGGGAAAATCAATGACCCCCCGGGGGCGGGGCCAATTTTGACCCCAGGGCTTTTATTTGAACAAACTTGGTTGACACTTATTAGAACATGTTTCATGCTAAATATCTTAGCTCTAACTCTTTTGGTTCTTTAAAAGAAGATTTTTTAAGTTTTTACTATATGCATTTAGGGAAAATCAATGACCCCCTGGGGCGGGGCCAATTTTGACCCCAGGGCTTTTATTTGAACAAACTTGGTAGACACATATTAGAACATGTTTCATGCTAAATATCTTAGCTCTAGCTCTTTGGGTTCTTTAAAAGTAGATTTTTAAGTTTTTACTATATGCATAAAGGGAAAATCAATGACCCCCGGGGCGGGGCCAATTTTGACCCCAGGGCTTTTATTTGAACAAACTTGGTAGACACTCATTAGAACATGTTTCATGCTAAATATCTTAGCTCTAGCTCTTTGGGTTCTTTAAAAGAAGATTTTTTAAGTTTTTACTATATGCATATAGGGAAAATCAATGACCCCCCGGGGCGGGGTCAATTTTGACCCCAGGGCTTTTATTTGAACAAACTTGGTAGACACTCACTAGAAGATGTTTCATGCCAAATATCAAAGCTCTAGCTCTTATGGTTTTTTAAAAGAAGATATTTAAAGTTTTTTCTTTTGGTTGCCATGGCAACCAGAGTTCTGCATGGAATTAAATTCTTTGAACAATTTTTAAAGGTGACCACCAAAGGAACATTCCTGTGAAGTTTGGATGAAATTGGCTTAGTGGTTTATGAGGAGATGTCATTTAAAGTAAAAGTTTACGGACGGACGACGGACGACGGACGGACTACGGACGAAAAGCGATCACAAAAGCTCACCCTGTCACTTTGTGACAGGTGAGCTAAAAAGACACTATCATTATTTCAAATTGTATGCATTCATTTTATGATTTAATGTACAGTAAACCTTGCTTATAATAATATTCAGGGGGCTGCAAAATTCATATTGCTATATCCAGGATATCTTTATATCAAAGAGCCAAGTTCCAACCAATTTGAAAACAAGTGTTAGGACAAGAATGGAGTTTACTGTTTATTCATAGGAGACCTGCATGGCAAAATGGCTTGAAGCTGTTAACTTATTAATACTGCCCACTGCCTTATTGAAATAATTATTTCAAGTGAGGAATTTTAGTATTCTACAGTCAGACAATGGTTCTTCTATGGTGGTGCCATACTATGTTATTAACAAAATACTAGGGAATATACAAAAATTTAATTTTCCAACCATTTCAGGTAAAAATTTGCTCTATGAGATAATGACCAAAACTATTGATTTTTCAAAAACTAGCTTGATAGCTTCCTTGTATGAAAAAAAAAACAACAAAAAAACTTTAATTTGAGCTCACAGCAGTGAGGGTGTCAAAAACTTTAACCTATTACCATCTTACCATGGAGACTCTTTTAACCATGCTTCTGTTGGGTAAAGATTAAAAGTTATTTTAACAACTATGTTTATAATTCTCAAGCCATACAACAAAGCCAAACAAGAGCTGTCAGTGGGAAAGATTGCTCAACTAATCTCAGTGCTTGAAAGTAAAACTAGATCCTGGATGAAAAAGAAATTTTTCAGATTTTAAAATGTCAATAATTTCATCAAAATCCATGTAAAGGTTATAGGCCTTGGACAGTGGCCTTCTATAACACTCTCAAATGAGGGTATGAAGTTTCAATGCTGCATTCTTTTCCATAGATTTTGGAAATACTAACTTGCAAGCAATAACTTAACTAAAGTGTGATGCCAGCCTTAGAGTGAGTACAATAGCTCTCCATATTCTTCATAGTCAATGTGATACCATACCTAACTTGCATCCCTGCAAACATATCATTGTCTATTTGATAGGGATGGACTATAGTTGTGTGTATATCAGGATACTCTTCTAATTCTTGCATTAAACTATCCATCATTCCTATCAATAAAAACAAACATCATGAAACCCCTATAAATAAAATCACAAATCATGAAACCCCTATAAATAAAATCACAAATCATGAAACCCCTATAAATAAAATCACAAATCATGAAACTCCAATAAATAAAATCATAAAACATGAAAACTCTACTGTAATATCATGAAAATTATGCACATGGTTCCCCAATGGTTAAAAATAGAATATGGTCACTAATTGGCTGATTGAAAGGTCAAGAGAAGTTGACCTCATAATAGTGACTGTCAGATCATTCAGCATTCCAAATTATTTAGGAATTGATTTTTTTTATTAAATTAGAGGCTTTTTTTAGTCAGCCCCAAAAGGTTATAAGATTGGAGTCTACTTTATTCAGCCCCAAAAGTGCCTATGACAAATGACCTTGACAGTGTTACTGTGTTATAAAACCCAACCAGCTGGAAAGTAAAAATTTGCCTACAGAAAGGTTGAGAAGGCGGAGCATGACCACATACCTGTTGTTGCAAACTTCGAAGTGACATAGTCACACACTCCTTTCAATCCCAGAAGTCCTAGCAAGGAGCTTATGCATACAATGTGACCTTGACCTCTCCCGATCATGCCTGGTAAAAATGCCTTTATAGTCTGAAAAAATAAAATATAATTTGATAAATTTAGCTTTAAATCAGTGTTTCCAAATAGCTAACAAAAACATTTTATGATCATAGATGACCTTCTTATTAAAATTTAACATGGATTTCTGTATTATCATTTCTATTTTTTTAATAACAGAAGAAGTTAATAATTTAAGTTCATGTAAAGGTTAATTGTATTTTTAAAATTATAATATATTTATTTGATATACATAGAAAAAACTGACAAAGGGAGAAAACTCTCTTAACCTTTTCCCTCATATAAGCGTGTTTCGACAGCTTTTTCCCCCCTTTTTGAGGCCTCAAACAGTAAAAAAATGCCCTATTTAGGCCCCAAACACTGGTTTTCGTTTGAGAAATGTTGTTGAAAAAAGTGACCACTTTTTCATCGCCGCCTTCCATCCAAATGTTACATCAGAGGGTTGCCAGAAGGGAGATGTGCCCCCTTCTGTTTGGGGGGTCTGAATGGGGGTGGAGTCTCCCTCATCGCCAAGAAAACTTTGGACAGTGACAGGCTAAAAATGGCCTCAGGTAGATCTTAGGGTAACTAAAAGCCTTTTACTCTATCTCAATTCATTGAGAAGTTTTGATGGAAAAAAAAAACAATGCAAAATAGTCATTTTTGGTAATTTTGATACGTCCCCCCGTTGCCATGGTAACAGGAAATTTACGATTGAGCATGCTGTTACAGAGACTATGGTGTAGTCAACATTTGTGCCAAGTTTCATAAGTATTAAAGCATTTTTCATAGTTTCATAGCAGTTTGAACTTGTTACAGGAGGCTTTTCAATGAAAACGGCCATTTTTCGCAATATGCTCATGGGGTAAAAGGTTAAGATATTTTACTATGGTCATGACAATACTTCCTCGTGAGATACATTTATATAATTGATTGTTTGATTTGGGTCTTATGTCACATCGACACAGTATAGGTCATATCGCAACGTTCCAGCTGTACTGGTGGAGGAAGACCCCAGGTGCCCTTCCGTGCATTATTTCAGGCACGAACGGGCACCTGAGTAGAACCACCGACGTTCCGTAAGCTAGCTGGATAGCTTCCTCACATGAAAGAATCCAAGGTCCCTGTCGGGATTCAAACCCACAGAGGTGAGGGGCAAGTGGTTTGAACATTTATATAAGTCATGATTTAAGTAAGTTTAAACTTAAGCATAAAGTCAGGAAAAACTCTCATGATAAATTAAATCTGAAAATCTCATGAAAAATGCTACCCAGTACTGGCCATTTTCAGCAAGTCACCGTTGTTAGTGAACTTCAAAGTGGTACAAATAGGATACAAGCTTCAAAATCAAGTAAGACTAAATAATGGTAAAACTAAATTTTATTTATTATATAAACTAAATATTATTAAAACTAAATATTGTTTGAACTAAATATTGTCTAAACTGAACAATATTAAAACTAAATAATGTTGAAACTAAATATTGATTTAACTAAATAATGTTTAAACTAAATAATGGTTATCAAACTTAAAAGTGTTTTAACTAAATAATGTGTATACTAAATAGTGTTTTAACTAAATAATGTTTAAACTAAATATTGTTTAAACTAAATATTGTTTAAACTAAATATTGTTTGAAATAAATAATATTTAAACAAAATATTGTTTAAACCAAGGATATTATTTGTCAAATAATATTTGTGTTTAAACTAGCTACAATGTTATGTTTAAACATGTTAAACTAAATGATGTTTTAACTAATTAATGTCACTTTACAAAAAATATTTTAACATAATAACTTTTGTTTGTTTTGATTTGGCTTTACATCACACCAACACAGTATAGGTCATATAGTTCATATGGTGATGTTCCAGCTTTACTTGTAGAGGAAAACTTCAGGTGCCCTTCCCTACATAATCTCAGGCTTAACGCGCACCTGAGTAGAACCACAGACGTTTCATAAGCTAGCTGGTTAGCTTCCTCACATGAAAGAATCAAAAGTCCCTGTCAGTATTTAAAACCACAGCAGTGAATAAATAGCTTAAAGTCAACGACCTTAACCAGTTTTCCATGGACACCCCAAAATAAGAACTGTAAGCACACTTACCCATATTTGAGCAAGGGTGTTAACTTTTAATGTATGCCTCATGTCCTCCGGTTGAAGGAACTCTATCGGTTTGCCACACAATATACCAGCATTGTTTACTAGAATAGTAACCTCCCCTACTGTCTCCTGTATTTCTCTTGCCTATTTGAACATTCAAAAGCTGTTTACAGTTATTTCAATATCATGATGAATGCAAAAACATTATGTAAACAATGTTATACCGAACTCTGCAAATGTGGGGTTTTCCCAGCTAATCTGTAGGTACAAACAAACCTTTACCATTATCATAAGCTTCAAAGTGCACTATTATTTTTGAAGAAGTAACTTTAAAAATTTGTTTGGGTTAGCTGAGAAAAACATAAAATATTCGTAAGTCCGGAGTAAGTCTATTTGTAAAAAAAAAAAACACCTTGCAGGTTATGATAAAATACTTAATTAACAATATTCATAATTATTTTCTTTCTTAAAGAAAACAAATTTGTTTCGAAAGAGTAAGACAATTGACAAAATTGATTACATGTAAAACTTCTAAAGAACTAAATTCCCTAAAAATGCCCAAAACAGCAAAATAAAAAAAATGTTGCAGACTTGGTTTGATTGAGTCTGTTCTTTATAGAATTATGATCAATAATGAAAAGAACAACAACAAAAAACAAAACTTTTCTTTGACCTACAGTTATAACACGGAATCAATGTTAAAATCATTTGTTATTAACCACCTGACTCTTTAACCAGTCTGATTTTTGTGAAGGATTTGCCCTGCTTTGAACAACTCATATGAAAAAAAAAATGATTTTGCTTTCAGAATACAAATTTTAAGAAGCAACAGTATAGACCAGGCATCCAAAAATATTTTCTTGCAGGACGAGTAGCTTCTAAATCCAATGTGCAGACAACATTTTACTACTCATCCTGCATCGAGTTCTCCTAAATTTTTCTTGTAATTATGAGTGTACGCGGCGCGGAGTGGAATTTTCAATCTCAGTAAACAGCATTGTATACTGGTTTTAGAGACATATAACTTTTGGTTCAGATAAAAGGTTAACTCTTACTTTTTCATATATAAGTTCCCTTGAGCTGACGTCACAGACTCTGTATGTTGATCTGACACCACGACTTTCTATGTCAGCAACAGTTTTCTTCAACCAATCTTCATTCCTTCCCCATATTACAATCTGCAATACATGAAACAGAGAAAACCTGCTTTTAACTTTTCAATCTGAATCAATCCTTGGAAAATCCTTCCCCTGCTGGGTCATTGCAGTTTGTTTTGTTTTGGGACAAAAATAACAAGGGATATGGACAACTTGTGAAGCATGGTTTGCCCAATTGTCAAAGTCTGAGATACAGTGGACTTGAGCATTACATACATTTCATACAATGCCAGCATTCAATCATCATTCTGACATCAGTAGGATTTAACTTAAAGGCTATTTTTAGGATGAAATTTTCAATTCTCATTATGTTAATAGTTTCCATGCAAATCCCTGGTGTAATTAAGTTTACACAATTTGAAGAATCAAGATAATCAACAAGTATAAAGTGCCATCAGCTTAAAGGAATTTATATCTTTTTAAATTTGTGATTTTGTGATTGAAAACATGATAATAATGTAAAGTAAGGCAGGTCTAATTCCATAATCAATATTTGGATAACTAAAAATTAATTGTTAGGGTGTGGATTCATTCAGTCACATGCTACTCAATATTTCCAACAAATTGTAATATCAGAAAAGTCTTACTTTCATTAAGTTACGAAATAGAAGTGCTTCCCAGACCATTTTTATATGATTTATACAGGGAAATACAAACTGGTTATCTTTACTCGAAATTCTATTATTCTACAGATAAGAAAACTGTCCATCGGTGCATTATATATATATGTCACTATTCAGAACTGTTCTCTATTTAAGTGTAAGCGGCCATATAGCTCAGTCAGTAGAGCCGCAGTACAATAGTCCAAGGGTCCCAGGTTCGAGTCCCGGTCAGGCTGCACATTTTTCGGACCCTGTGACATTTCACGCCCAACGTGGGGCCGTAACTGAATATAGCTCAAAGTTCAATTTACTTTGCTCTGTAACTCTGTGAAATACGAGGACGAATTTCAATATAGCAGGGGAGCATGTCACGGTTCAGAACTGTTCACTATTTATGATAGATGAATTGTAATTAAGTAGTTGGAAAGCTCAGTCTTTAGAGCCGCGGTACAGTATTCTGAGTGTTCCGTGTTCGATTCCTGGTCAGGCTGCACATATATATGATATAATAGAATATATATGGAATGATCTGCACTCTCTCAAAACATATTGGGGATATTTGACCACAGTGCTAACACACTTTTTTCTGCATTTGTCTGAAAAAGAATATATTTTGAATATGCGATCATGGAGCTCAATATTATATATCTGTGATTTATTGCATGAAAGATAATATACAAACACATACACATTTAGGCTGAAAATTTGCAAATTCAAGAGCCAACTGTCTTCCAATACCCCTGCCCCCTCCGGTTATAAGAATTATATCATCAGAAATACATTTTGCTTTCGTAAAACTAATACGTGATATGGCTCGAACACTTTCAATAATGACGATTCCGAATGCCTTTAATGCTGTCACAGAGGCGTAAAATAAATTTGCCATATCGTCAGTTTGTTTACATTTTGGAAAGGCCGCTTACGCTTTCAACAGAAATAAAACCAACGTTATATTCCGTCCGACACGAACTCTTACCGTACTCTTGCAGCTTCGGCCTTTAGGTCAGACACTCACATTGATTTTCCATAGACTTACATTATAAGAAATGGTTGCTAAACCTACCTTAAAATGGAGTTTTCATGCTAAAGAGGTGATTTTTCTAGCTGAATGCCTGACACATAAAAATGGTCCTGTAGCCAACCAAATTTTTGGCAAAATGACACCCCCTTTTCATTAGAATTTTCTGCCACTCACAGGACTGACATACACTTTCTATAAATGCAAATATCCAAGTCACAAATTATCATAGAGACTTATGAAATATTCACTTTATCACATAAAAAGCGGTGCAGGAGTGTAATAAGCCAATTTATAAAAACGATATTACACTATAGTGTAATAACACTTTGACTCTATATATAAACATTTTTTTAACAGTTTACCAATCATATTTTATATATGTGAGAAATAGAATATTATACTCGTGTAGATTCAATACCTTATTATTTAACACGTTGAATAAAACAACATTTTGCTCGCCAGAGGCTTGCATAATATGATTTTATTCAACATGTTCAATAAATTTAGTATTAAATCTACACTCATTCAATACCCTCTATTTCTTTAGAAAACAATATCGTGCTAGTTTCTAAATTAGTTTTCATACTTAAAAATACCACATTTTCATCCAATCACCTCATGTCCAATTGAATCCTACGGTTTTCCTTGCACTTTTTTTCAGCCAATCCCTGGCCATGTTACAACGCAAGACTCTGACCTTTATGTTATTTACAAGGTAATTAAGTAGGAGTTGTGAGAAGACTTTAAACAGCAAAATAATTCCTGTATTAAATTATAAAAGGTAGAGCTTTTCTATTTTTATTTACATCTTCTAAGCATAAAACTGTTATTCTCACGTTTTTGTCTATGACGTGAAATTAAGCACAAAAGTCATAATATTTGCACTTGCACATCATTTCACGTGCGTTGCTCCCATTTTGAAAACATTTATAAAACTGATTTGTTCGTTATTATCTTGTAACCTAGTACGTTCTAGCCATTAGACGTTCTACAAACAGATATCAGCAACGTAAATGATTTCGTTTGTCTCAAAATACAAAATACATTGTATTCATTGGTGACAAATAAAGCTGACTACTAAGTAAAATCATAAATATTCTATTGTAGAATAGTTTGAATTGTTATTTTTCAGCAATCAAAAATTTTCACTTTCAATATAAAAGTTGTCTAAATCAAAATTTATTTGTAAAATGAGATCATTTATACAATTTTCAATTAACTGTAAAAAGATCATATTGATGTATAAATTTGTTATATCACATACCTGTACTGATTTTGCGACTGCGAAAAATTGTACTGCACGGCCGTGCATGTATTTTAGCGTGATGTCATTATAGCATTATACAAACAATATGTAAAGAGGTGCTAAATGTTAGCGCTATACTACTATATAGGCATAAGTGTATATTTGGTCCATGAAAATATGTACTACATGTATTCTAGTAATTCTTTGTTATTGCATGTTAAGTCAGAGGCCAACTTTTTAACTTTGTATGTTATCTACTTAAAATAAGTGTTTGATTATAATTACCAATTTAAAACGTTTAACCTCATAATTATATCAAAAATCAGATTTACTCCATTTATATAGTATTTGTATTGTATATATCTGCATATTATTATTCTAAACTGGGACCAGTTGATACAAAAGGGAAAGAGAATGAAATGAGTTATTTTTCAGCATACTAGCTACATGTAATTAACAACTCTGACATTAATTTTTAAATGAAATTTGGCGGTCATTTTACTTTCAATTGCATTTATTATCTATAAAAGTGAGTGTAATTTTATATCATGATACTTACTTATTGTAAGAATTAAGCCTGAAATGTACCTGATTTACAACAGAATAAATAGGACAAGCACTGAGAGGGACCGACACCTTCTGGCTGGAGAGTTTTTTTTTTTTAAAAAAGACCGGATAACGTTAAACATGAATTAGTGTGTATCAATGTTGTAATTTAGTACTCTACAACCTACTTACACAATACTCTTTTATTTGGAGATTTTCCGCGAGAACGTGTCAAAGTAGAAACATAATTTGAGAAACATGGATGGGTATGTTTTATTCTTTTGTTGCGCACATCTCATGTTTTTGTCACCGTTTTATTCACTTCTGTGTGTGTGCAACGCTATGCAAGCTAAATACTTGACCTGTAATAAATGTTACCTTGTTATGGCATACTTTTATAAATATATTTCCTTTTTCAACCAAAATTTTGACCAAAGTTAGTTAGTTTAGTTTTTTATCTTGTTGTTTTTTGTTTGTTTGTTTTTTAGGGGGGGGGAAAGGGTTAAAATTATGTTTTTTTTTTATTTCTATGGACCCCATTGGAAATAAGCATTTAGCTTAATGGGCTATCCATAGGTGCATAGTACCTCTTATTTTATTTTTTATGACAAAAGTGTGCTCTTTTATGCTGTTTTATGATCTCATTTTATATATATGATTTATATATGTTATCTCTTAACTGTATGATTTTATATTTTGTATCATGTGCTATGTTCCTAAAATGTATAAATAAATAAATAAATACTGATCAAAAGACTGAAAGAGGGACCAGTTGTTGTTGTGTTTTGATGTGTTTTTTTTGCAATGCCTCAGCGATCTTCATGCATCTTATAAGATTACAAAACACTTAACAGTAGCGTTTTTTATTTACTTACAGAGATGTTAAGTCAATAACAATTAAAGAGTATGTCCGCTTTGATGTCATGTTAATAAAACTCTCCAGTGTGTAATGTTTTAATACATGTATATAGACTTTCACGTAAAATTTTAATTAACTAGTTAGTGTGTAGAAAATTATCATTATATACTCTTTCCAAAATAAACTACACACCATATACAGGATACTGTTTTGTGGCCTAAAGCAGTACTAGTTGACAGAAATTGAAACATCGTATGATTGACTAGCCTTTCAAAATTTTCTTGAACTACATTGTTTAATGGTACAGTTCAAATATTCCAATATATCAACGTTCTGGGCTTGTTATAGTTTATGTCAGTCAAGCCCGACTGCTTTGGCTAGAAGCAAAAATATCTCAAAGCGATATCATATCTATAGGACTACAGTTCAAATATGAACCTGATATGAACCTCAGGTCTTTATAACTAGATGTGGCAGTCAATGCCCTAGCTGTATTATGTAACTATTGTGTAATAGTTTTTTTTCCAGTGTGATATATCTAGATTACAATGCTACAACTCCTCTTGAACCAGAAGTGGTTGAGAGTATACAAGATGCATTGAAAAGTGCCTGGGGAAATCCAAGCAGCTCACACCATGCTGGTAAGAGTAAAGTGCCATTGATTATAATTTTCATGATAATCATTTTAAGCCTGGCTATTCTAAGAATAGGGAGAGCTTTTGTTCTCTCCTAGGCATCCATGTCATCATACTTGGGTTAAGTTTTTGAATGCAAGTTGGTTTTTTAAACTACTAAAGGGAATGGGTTGAAAATTCACTCACTTATTTGAGATCAAAATAGGAGGTCACCATCCAAGGCCGATAATATTAACATGGATTTTGACAGAATTATGACCCTTTTTTAAACAAGAAAAACCCACATTATCCAGACTCTTGTTTCAATGAAGCACTGTTAATTGTCAAGCATGCTGCCCTATCGACAGCTATTCTTTTTATGTATAAAACAGCCTTAAAATGATCTTTGTTACCTCACTTAAATAATGGCCAAGTTGGTTATCATAAATCTCTAATTTGTGAACACTTTTCCCTCATCTGATACAAAGTGTTTATAATGATTGATCCCTTTGACTGTTGGTGGCAATCGGGTTTTGCCCATGTTACTAGTGCAGACCCTTATTGTAAGGTATATCCATGCCATCTGATAGTGGTCTGCACTGTTTATTATTCATTTAAAGTGGTTACGGTTGTTGACTTTAAGCCACTTTAATTGCCTCTCACTGATGTAGGTTTGAGCCATACAAGCATCTTCAAATTCTTTATGTGAGAAAGCTATCAAGCTAGGTTATAGAATATTGATGGTTCTACTGAAGTACCCCTTAGTGCCTGAAATAAGGCATCTGAGGTCTTTCTCAATATTATGACCTTGACTGTGTTGGTGTGATGTGAAACCCAACAAAAAATAACATGAAGTGAAAAAAATATTAATAATAAAAGCATAAAATATTTGAAAATATGAAGTTTAAAACAGCATATTCAATAGTTCATGTGATAAATTTGTTTCAGGAAAGAGTGCAAAAGCTTTGATAGATCAAGCAAGAGAAAATGTTGCAAGAATGCTGGGTGCCAAATCATCAGGTATTTAAGTTTTAAATTATAAATGTAATAGATACATTATACAGTTTATCTTTATGACAATAAGGTTGAGATAAATATTCTAGCTACTTTAATCTTTCCTGGTGTTGAGATGTTGTCAATTTATTTACATTTATATAACACAAGCACAGCTTTAGTTGTAATTAAACTATAATGTAAGATAACTTGTTTCAGCAGATGTAACCTGTCTGTGCCTTAGGAAATACAGCCAGACTAGCCTGTTTACTGTTGGCTGTTCATTAAAATTGTTCACATTAACAATGCATACAACGCCTTTTTAACAGTGTCACCTAAGTATTACAAGACTCATTCCCAACATCAAATACAATGTATTTTTTTCCAATCTTTCAAAAAATTTCCCAATCAAACTGAAATTCCTGATATCAAAACTGACAAATTTGCTGAAGTTCATTTTGGTATCATAACAGATAGATATTTCCTCACATTTTTATTGTCAGATATTATTTCATTTATTTTGCTTAGCTTGGTATTTGCTTTTGTTGAAATAAACAATTTCACACAGTTAAAAAATTACTATACTAAATGCACCTAAAAAGACTGGTTTTAAAAAGTAACAAATATTTTTCCTTTGACCAAAAGTACCCCAAGCTGGAATGTTATCTAGCATTTGCATGAAATAACAACAAATATTAAAGTTATATTAAAAATGTCTACTATTTTACAGTATTTCTGTCACATAATGATTATGCTTGGAGAGGATTTTGAGTAATTGAGAGTGATTGTGATAAATTATTGAATGTACTACAATGATAATTCATGTTTTATTTCAGATATTGTCTTTACATCAGGGGGCACAGAGGTATCAATGTTTTTTTTTGTTTTTTTTTTATGTTCTTGTCATAAATTATGGCCCGGGCATATAGTGTTACCCTGTTCCGTCCTTTTGTCCTTCCATCCTTCCGTCCTTCTATCATTTCGTCATCATCAGTTGTCGTTTATTATCTTAGTAACAGTTGCACACATTCAACTTAAATTTGACCAATGGATATATCATAAGAAAATACAGGTCAAGTTGGAATTTGGTCATGGTCCGATGTTTTTTGACAGAGTTATACCCCTTGATGAAATTTTAAGTTTCCGTTCATTATCACTCCAATTGTTGTACACATTCAACTCAAATTTGATACATCTTAGGAATAAGAAGTTCAAGTTTGAATTTGATCATGGTTCAATGATTATGGACAAAGTTATCTCTCTTGAATGTTGGAAAAATTTGAATTTTCAGTTTCAGCACTCATACTTTTGTGGAAATATATGTAGTCATTAGTTTGGCTACACATAATGCAATATGCAATTTACAAAACACTGAATAGTTTCAGTGCCTGTAACATAAAAATGTTTTTTGTTCATGAACATTGAATAGTTTTAACTTAAAATGAAAACAATTAGTTTGTGCAAACAAATTTGGAACTAAATATTACAACATTTGAAATTTTGGCTGCATGCAGGGGCATCTGTGGTGTGATGACACATTTCTAGTTTTTATTTTTATCTTTTTATTATTATTTTTATCCAACTCACTTAAGGAATGTTGGTGTTTCTACTCAGATGCCCTTCAGAACATACCTGAAATAGAAATGATATACAAAGTCTTTCTCTACCAGTAAAGCTGAAAAAATATTATACAGTCTAAAATGTGCAACATAATTGTGTGCCTTAAAACTCAACTGAAAAAGTAAGGTAAATAAGTGTAGGTTAAATAATTTATTTATGACTTACAATAGAAATTATACATGGAAAGCATCTTTTTGTTTCAGAAATGCTTGAGACAAGGAACTCATAGGAACTCATTTAGACAATATGAATTTAACCAAACAATTTAAATCTCCATTTTATACTACTCTGCGATTTATATAACTCAAATGCCTTCATCACATTAATATATATTAGGAGCGTGTGTTGTCAAGTGGTTCAGGTTGTTGACTTCAAGGCACTTGCCCCTCATTGCTGTGGGTTAGAGTCTCAAGAGGGACTGTGGATTCTTTCATGTGAGGAAGCTATCCAGCTAGCTTACAGAACGTTGGTGGTTCTACTTAGGATTTCCAGTTTCTGTCTGAAATAATGCATGGAGGGCACCTAAGGTCTACCTCCACCTGTTAAACTGGAAAGTTACCATATAACCTATAATGTGTTGGTGCAACATAAAACCCAACAAAATTTACTATGAAATTACCTGAATTTTGATTCTTTGACCTTTTTCTAGGCAGACAATATGATACTTCAAACAGCTGTAGAATACTTTCACAAGGTGTGCACGAAATCACGTACCCCAAGTAGAGATCATGCAAAACCTTTGCCACATATCATATCATCACATATGGAGCACCCAGCTGTAAATGTTATGCTACAACATCTGCAAGATACAAGTCAAGCAGGTTTTTCACCTTTACCATACTAAATATATTAAATGGACCTATTCATATTTCAATATTAACAAAGCTGTTTTTCATTTTTGTGAAAATTTTAAAATATTTATTGACTGTATGAGCTAATATTAAGATATTTAAGTTATAATCGTTTATTTTTAGAAATAAGCTATGTACCACTGTGCAAGGTCACTGGAAGGTTAGAGGTCAAGGATGTTTTGGCTGCCATAAGGTCAAACACAATCATGGTTACAGTGATGCTTGCAAACAATGAGACAGGAATTATCCAGGTATATCTCATATACAATCACAGACTCACATGCTTCTCACAATTAGACTAATAATTCTGGGAGAGAAAAAAAGTGTGAGGAAATGATCTGAAATTTTACTCAGAAGTTTTTGATCTAGACCTAGAGTTATTAATTTTTCACAGAATTCCATCCATGCATTGTGTAAACAGTTATTAAAGTTTGAATATAACATAAAGTTATTTATATATGTTTCTTGGATTAAGCAACTTGGACTCACTGACACATTTTTCTATCATTGTTTTCATAAATGTTCTTGTGACTACATAGTTTATAATAAATCCTCTTTTGATATACAATACCTGGTAATCTGCACAATTATGTACATTATAGCCTGTAAAAGAAATCAATGATGCTATAAAGGCATTAACAAGACATCCAGGTGAAACAGAGAGAATTTTTGTCCACACAGACGCTGCACAAGCTATTGGCAAGATTCCTGTAGACGTCCACGAACTTGGAGTAGACTATCTCACTGTGGTTGGTCATAAGGTAAGATTAGTTTTTGCTCGGCTGTTATATTTGTATAATAGGAAAAGCTATCATTCTCACCAGGGTGTTGGCATTTACAAAACATGTTTGGTTAAGTTTTTTGTAACTCCCAGCTTTCTGGCAAGTACTGGTAATAGTCAAGTACGCTTTCTTATGGACGACTCTTGTTCACATATCACTCTCTGCCAAGCTCGAGGCACTTTTTTAAATCCAAGGTACCCTGCTGGTGGCAACAGATTTTTCCCATGCCTCTCATGCAACCAATGCAGACTAGGGTCCACCAGCACATCCATGGTCTGCACTGTTCACTATTCAGTAAGTACATGTATATATTTAGAAATTCCTGCTACAAATGCTGAATGGTTTGTCCAGACATAAAGAATTAAACAGTATGTTAATGATCGTGTTGGACTTAACTTTTGTGTATCATGCATTCATACTTTCTAGGAATTACGAAACCTGCTTAATGTAACTAAGGCTCGGGCTCGGTTAACTTGATTGTCACTACCCATCTGACCAGCACATCCCTGTTATACTCTATGTCATAAGGCTTATGCATTGTGCAGAACACAATTAAAAACTTAATAATAACAATTTTTATTTGCTACACATCTGCATGTATAACCGAACAGAAAATACTATTCTCCGGTCCCTCCCGGTCTATTTTGACCAGTGAATAATATATTTATCTGGCCCAGTCTGTGCCAATCTTGGAATAATAATATTTATTTTTAACAAAGCGTTGATGTTGAAAGATGACATGGTGTTGTTATAAAAAGATATGTCATTTTATATTATATATAATGTTCATTTCATTTTTTTATGTACATAAGTAAGTAAGAAAGGAAAGGAAGGGAAGGGAGGGGAGGGAAGGGAAGGGAAGGGAAGGGAAGGGAAGAGGGAAAGGAAGGGAAGGGAAAGTGAAGGAAAAGAAAGCAAGCAAATAACAACTTTATTTAATGAGGCAACACAGTTGGGCAAGCCCAGTCTTCCTGAAAAACATGAACATTTATTTATTTCTTTTCAGTATAATTTTTGGTAATTATAATAAATTATTTCATACTTTTTAAAAGGGGCCAAAATAGGAGTGTGTATGCAAAAGACCTGGAAAAAACAAGTCCCATTTTATCCCATGCGTTTGGGTGAGGCCAGGAAAAAAATTTTAAAACAGGGTATGGTTCCTTACTGATCTGTTAGTTTTATTAAAAAAAATGAAGTTTAATTATCACCCCTAAAAAAATTTAGGGGGAGGGGGCAATCCCTTTTATAAAAATAGGAACCTATTTTCTAAAAAATTTCTTTTATTTTGAAAAAAATAAAAGTCTAAAGGATTTTTTTTTGGGCTACCCTTTAGTCCCCTACCGGTTTAAGGGAGGGACTTTAGGTTTCCCCTCCGTCGTCTGTCTGTCTTCCCCCTTCCTGTCAGCCGCGTCCCAAAAATGGTCCCCCATAACGCAAAAAGTTACTGAAATATTTTTATGAAACTTGATATATGGATAGATGGCAGTATGGAGATTAAGCACGTCGTTTTTTTTTCTTCCTATGTTGAAAATTCTGGTTGCTATGGGAACAAATAGTCTGAAAATAAAAGGCAAATTTAACAGCATAAACCGGATCCAGTGAATAATCAAAAAGTATGAAAAATAATTGTTAGAAACTTGAAAATATGGGTAATGGCAGCTGGAGATTACTGCACATCTTTTTCTTTTCTTCTTATGTTGAAAAAATTCTGGTTGCTATGGCAACAAAAGCCTGAATTCAAGATTTCTGATTTAAATTTTTCAGCTTTTTCACTAAGCTTTATTTCTTAATGTTTTACTTAAACTTTTAAATATAATTCTGGTTTATCAACCACATCAAATGACAAGGTTTATAACTCTAGCACAAAAAATTCAATATTATCCCTTTAACTTTGATTTTTTAGGGGGAAAAAAGTTTTTCTTTTTTTTAAATAACTTTTTTTTCCTAAGTATCTACTTCAAACTTCATATTTTTTTCTTTTTATCACCAACATTTTTTAGAAGGTTTAAAAACTCTAGCAAAACTTTTCCAGAAATTCCCCCCCTTTAACTTAGTTTTTTTCGAGAAACGGGATTTTCTCTCCAAAATTTTTCATTCCTTTTAGATTTGCTTTTAAAAACCCCATCGTAATAATAGAAAGGTTTTATAAACTAATTTCCCTTTCAAGCAGGAAAATAACACTTAGTGATGAGACAAACTTTTTTTATTTTTTGGTCGATATTTTCAAAAAAAAGATTTTTCACCTCAATTCTTATAAATGGCAAACAGGAGGTATGACATTAAAGAACTATTGAGGGAACCGGAAAGGGGACTACTGTATATGCCCGAAATAAAAAATCAAATGCTTGTTATTTGTTGTTTTGTGATTTTTTTTTTATCGCAACCCAGAGCAATATTTTATTCTTGTCTTTAGCCTAAGATTAATTGTTTTCAGTGAATAATTAGAGACTTTAATCTATGGTTAATATATGACATTGTTTAAGTTAGATAGGGTCAAATCTTTGATTTCTATCAGGTCAAATGTAGTAATTCAGTATGGAACATTATTATCAAAATTATTCATCTTTCACACTTGACATCTGTTGTATTATATTAGATGGCACAAAAAACCTTAGTCACAAGTTGAGGGTACATTTTATCAAAGTTATGTCCCTTTTCAACTCAAGTTGATAACAGTTTTATTCTATACTTTGAACAGGTTTATAAAATATTGTTAGTTTAAAAGATGGCTTTGATTACAAATCATTATAGCTGTGTTTTAACATACTTTAAAGCGCTATTCCACTGCTGCCCTATGTGAATACTGTTTGAGTATTTGTTATAGGTTTTAATCAATCTATATTTTTGAAAATGATTAAATATGATTAAGTGACTTGTAGGCCCAACATGGCCGGGTGTTGTAAAAAATAAATATGTATCGTTATTATGTATGTACATAACACAATGTCACTATAATAAAATTCACTTATCTTATATTATCTTATCTTATCAAGCTGTAGGTATAAGAATAAGACTTGTTAGTTACTAGAATAAGATGTAATAAATTTTTAAGCTGTTTAAATGCTAGAAATAATGACTTTTTTTGAAATGGTGATCATGTTTTTTTTTCAGGACTGAAAACACAGGAATGATTGCTGGTCTTGGAAAGGTAAAAAAACACATGGCAATTTTACATATAAAGTTCAGATTCAAAGGGCATTGGTTTAAATCAAATAACTTTTGTATCAATATTAACTACTTTTAGCTAGAATTTTCAAAGAAAATGTGAGAACTTTACTTCTTTCCAAGGCTTTATCAATGAAACACTTTATTAGGGTTTATGTGTATAAATATATTTTCATTTTTATCATTGGCATAATTTCACCTATAATTTTCTACTTGTATATGTTTGGGACCGTACATTTTTTGGAAAATAGTTGGTCATTTTCTAAGCACCAAAAGTTTTGCATGGATTTCTACTGAATTATGATCCCATGACTAGTCCTGGTGAAGGTTTTGCCTTTAAAATCATCTCTATAATTACATGTATTGAAGGTATTCATTTGAATCTGCACAAATGTGTTAAGAGATATTTGTATTTCATTGTAAAAAGAACTATAACTGAAGCTTGGAATTTTACTGATTTATGCCCCTTTCTGAATTTTGCTGCAGGATTCTTGTATTTTATTCATGTACTAAAAATAGTCTAGTATCCATGTATACACTGTTAGTATGCTTGATTTTGTTACTTTTATAGGCTTGTGAATTAGTGACGAAAAACCTGGCTATGTATCAACAACAGATGGAAGAATGTAGGGATTATTTGGAGACCAAACTACATGTAAAATCTTTCAAATTTTAGCTCAACTACTTGTATTTGAAGTATAGAAAGAGCGATTGTACTCACCCTGGCATCCGTTTCACACTTTGGCTAAGTTTTTGCCTGTAAGTCGGTATCTCCAAACATACTGAAGGTACTTATTCAAGAGCATAATTGATGGTCACTGACCAAAGTCCATAACTCTATGTTAAACTTGGATTTTAACAGACTTATGGCCCCTTTTTGAAAATGGAAAATACTACATAATCCAGGCTCTTATTTTACTATCACCACAGAGAATAATCAAGCACGCTGCTTACCGACAGCTCTTGTTTATTTCTTATTTACCATTTGACCTGATATATAGGCCACTCTTTAGATCAATTATGGTGTAGTTACATTTGTGATGAGAACACCTACAAAAAACAATTTTTTTTTAACTTTTCTTAAAACTACAATTAAATGAATTTCAGGTTACAATTGCATTCAACATACTGAATATTGTACATTTGTACATATTTTTTGATATTTTGAAAATGTATTCACTTACTAGCATCCGTAGTTAAAGTGTATAAATTTATATATCTGATGCAAAAACTATTGTTTGAATTAATTTTAAAAAAAAGTATACTTCCAAAATGCTTGTATGAAATAGATATGGTATTTTTTTGCCTTAAAAGCGGATGGCGCATGCACTAAATCATTGCTAAATGGTTTAAACCCTACTTAAACTAGAAAAATAATATTTTGTTCTGGAACATATTTTATTCTGTTTACGTACATTATTCAGACATTCTGTGTTACAACATTTTCGGGTATCAACCATATAATAATGGAACCAATATAATTTTACCAGTTGATAAATTTGATTTAGATATTTCATAAGATATAGATTTAGTATCCTTTAATTTGCTGTAAAAGGACGATGAAGATTTTATGAGAAGAAAAAATAGATGTGTGAGGAAAATTTCACATGAATTTCTTATGGATGAAATCATGAGGATGAAAGATGTAAAAAGTTTGTAAAATGAACCTGGAAAATACACATAAAATTCAAGAAATGTATATATATTTTTGTAGGAGACATTTCCAGGGCAGCTTCATTTCAATGGCAAATTGCCTGGCAGCACCAGACTACCTAACACCTGTAATGTTTCTATTCTTGGGGATAAGTTGCAAGGTAAAGTCACTCTAGTGAATCATGTACATGTACAGTAAATTGGTAGGTAAAAATCACTGTGGTGAAACATGTACGGTAACATTCAAGGTAAAAAGCACTGCACTTAAATATGCAGGATAAATTACAAGGTAAAATCACTGTAGTGAAACATAGGATTAGTTACAAGATAAAAATCACTGTAATGCATGATATGTATCATGGAGAAAATCAATTAGGACAAATGACTAGGTTTGATTGTTTTACGTCACAGCAACATGGTATAGGTCATATGGCGATGTTCCAGCTCTACTGGTGAAGGAAGAATTTAGGTGTCCTTCCATGCATTATTTCAGGCAAGAATGGGCACCTGAGTAGATTACGTAAGCTAGCTGGATAGCTTTCTCACATAAAAGAATTCAAAGGGATTCGAACCCACAGTGGTGAGGGGAAAGTGGACGTCCCTACAAATTACTAGGTAAAGTTTCTTATGAATTATGTTAGTAAACATGTATGTTGAAAGGTTATATCACTGTAGTGAAACTTGTTGGAAAATTGTGAAAAGGTAAAAATAATATCATAAACTATTTGTGAGGTGAACAATTGAAATTTTTTTTTCATCTCTTAATACTCTTGCATATGGACACAATGGATTCTTTAATGCAAGAAAGTTATGAGGGGCTGCATTTTCTTATGGCTGAAATAATGCAAGAAGGGGCGCAATGAAGCCTTCCATCTCAAGTTATGTTATTGTACTTTTTATTGAATTGATTTTATAGACATTACAGAAACACTGTAAAGGTCATATAGAGACTGTGGAGGAAGACCCCATGTTTCACTTTATGCATTTTTTCAGGCATGTAAAGGCATCCTGATTAGGGAACCACTGACATTCTGTTTGATTGCTAAACAAATCAAAAGTCCCTTGCATGGTTCATACCTGCAGTGACCAGGGTCTAGTGTTTAGAATTCAATGACCCTAACCATTTGGTCATTGATGTATCATTAGTTTTTTTCTAAAATCCCAACCAGATGAGCAAATTGTACATTCCTTACAATTCTACATATATATAATGTGAACTGGTGGCATTGAACCTTAATCAAATGCTGACCATTTTAATTTGTTTTCAGGTCATAATGTTTTAGCAAGGTGTCAAAGACTACAGGCCAGTGTAGGTGCAGCATGTCATGCACAAAATAGGTAATATCTGAATTGTATCTTCTGTTTAAAGGTCATCATAACTTGGTTAATAGGAAGTAAGGAGCACTTACTTTGGTGAAAACAGGTTGAGTTTATGATATTTCAAAGCAGAGAGGAATATCATATATAGTCAACTGGTTATCTATTTCAAACCAGAGTGAATTCATATTAAATTTCAAAGCAGGACTAGTCCATTGATATTTGAAAGCAGGATGGTCCATTATGTAAGTCCATTATATTTTAATCCAGGGTATATCAATGATATTTTAAAGCAGAGTGAGTCTATGATATTTTGATGCAGTGTGGGTCCATGATATTTTAATGCAGGATGAGTCTATGATATTTTGATGCAGTGTGGGTCCATGATATCTTAATGCATGGTGAGTCTATGATATTTTAATGCAGTGTGGGTCTATTACATTTTAATGCAGTGTGAGTCATTGATATTTAAAAACAGGATGGTCCATGATGTAAGTCTATGGTATTTTAATGCAGGGTGAGTCTATAATATTTGTATGCAGTGTGAGTCCATGATATTTTAATGCAGGTTGAGTCTATGATATTTTAATGCAGGGTGAGTCTATAATATTTTAATGCAGTATGGGTATATGATATTTTAATGCAGGGTGAGTCATTGATATTTATATGCAGTGTGAGTCCATGATATTTTAATGCAGGGTGAGTCCATGATATTTTAATGCAGTGTGAGTCCATGATATTTGTATGTAGTGTGATTCATTGATATTTTAATGCAGTGTGAGTCATTGATATTTATAAACAGGATGGTCCATGATGTAAGTCCACGGTATTTTAATGCAGGGTGAGTCTATGATATTTGTATGCAGTGTGAGTCATTGATGTTTTAATGCAGTGTGGGTCTATTACATTTTAATGCAGTGTGAGTCATTGATATTTAATTCAGGGTGAGTCTATGATATTTTAATGCAGGGTGAGTCTATGATATTTTAATGCAGTGTGAGTCTATGATATTTTAATGCAGGGTGAGTCTATGATATTTTAATGCAGTGTGAGTCTATGATATTTTAATGCAGGGTGAGTCTATGATATTTTAATGCAGTGTGAGTCCATGATATTTTAATGAAGGGTGAGTCTATGATATTTTAATGCAGTGTGAGTCTATGATATTTTAATGCAGGGTGAGTCTATGATATTTTAATGCAGGGTGAGTCTATGATATTTTAATGCAGAGTGAGTCTATGATATTTTAATGCAGAGTGAGTCTATGATATTTTAATGCAGTGTGAGTCCATGATATTTGTATGTAGTGTGATTCATTGATATTTTAATGCAGTGTGAGTCCATGATATTTTAATGTAGGGTGAGTCTATGATATTTTTTTTGCAGTGTGAGTCTATGATATTTTAATGCAGGGTAAATCAATGATATTTAAATGAGGGATGGGTCTATGATACTTTAATGAATGATGAGTCTATGATACTAATTACTTTAATGAAGGGTGAGTCCATGATATTTTAATGCAGGGTAAATCAATGATATTTTAATGCATGGTGAGTCCATGGTATTTTGAAGCATGACACGTATATGATGTTGTCAATTTAGATGGACTGTCATGATAGTCATTTGTTTTTTTTTTTAAATAATAACATGCAGTTGTAGATCTAAGATGGATAAAGATGCATATTGTAGTTCCTTGATTCCTTCCTTATAAATGAGCATTCTTAGGAGCTTTCACATTCTTAATACATGTATATTTCTAAGTAAAAGGTAAAGTACATTTATTATCATATTGTCTTATTTTGTATATTTACAGACCATCATCTATATTATTGGCTACAGGCATTCCAGAGAGTATTGCCAGAAATGCTTTAAGACTTTCACTGGGCAGAAGTACAACAAAGGCAGACGTAGATATTGTAATAGAAGATTTACACCAAGCTGTGCTAGCCCTAAATAACTCATAGTGATAAGATATAATATTTGTAAAATTTTAGGTCAAGGAAAAAATGAACTTGAGGCCGGGAAAGTGTTTTTAATTACCTCCTTTGCGGCAGTATTGTTTACAGCACGTTTAAATGTTTTTTGAAACTGAAATACTGTGGGGGGTCGAAGACGGGAACCGTTAAGGCGTGTGACACGGGGTGGGACGGGGGGGGGGGCATACCACGGGGAAAGAGTGTTGCAACAATTTTAATTTATTTCTCAGAACAGACCTGTCACCAATAAATTTGAGAAACAGTGATTAAAAAATTTTTAGCAGAACACCTTTTTTAAAAATTTAAAAAGGAAAATGTTTCAAAATAACTTCATGTTGTGTTATATTTGGTCCACTGGATTCATTTTTCCAGCTAAATTAAGTATTGAAAGTTTGAATACCATTTAAACGGTCTAGGGGCATGGGGGAATTTAGACGTGTTTCCATTTTCCCTGTAAAGAGTGTCGACGTCTTATGTTCATGTAACGTTGTTATTACAGACAGGAAATGAAAAAAAAATAAAGAAGTCGGTATTACATAATTTTGTTCTCAGTCGTATAAAATATAAAATCAAGAGATACACATCAACAGTAATTTGTGCGATGCTTGTACGTGACTACAGCCATAATGAACCTTGACCTATTTAACTGACTTTGCATTAACATTGATAAACTATTGGGAAAAGGGAAATTAGTCTAGAAAATGGGCTTTCCAATTATTTCACCTTGTCACCCGATAAGTGTAGAATTCCCGAAACGCAAATGCCCCGATGGATCAGAATTGTTATAGAACACGATACTTCAACTATAAATTACTTTATCATATTTAATTGACTGGTATAATGCAGTGGTCACCAAATCAAAGAGTTTTACTTAAATTAGATATTGTATAACGTATATTGATATTGTCATTTTGAATTACAAAATTAATAATAATTTTAGGAATTTTTTTATTAAGTTTTATTAATTTTGTATGGAATTCAGTTGTTTGCAAAATTTTTATACACAACAGTTTTTAATTGGTTTTGTATATACACAATGTTCGGACTTCATTTTAGTGATACATGTTTTTTTTATCCACTCCAACGGTATTACTTTATTTTTTTGTGTGAAACTTGTGTGTGCCTGTGATATAAATATAAATTCTTTTGGTAATGTGGTTCCATAATTACTACTTGAGTAATGTTTAATTAACATTTAGGCTATGTTCCAAGCTTTTTAATTTGTCTTTTGACATCTGTGATATGCAAGCGTCATATCCTTTGACCTACTATTTGTAAAGATCCGCCCAAGGTTTTTTTTCGTTAATGGCAGATTCTTTTATTTCGGGACCATACCCTTCTTATTATTCATGGAAAAGCATGAACCACATTGAAGGTTCCTTGAAAACCGCCTTTTGAACATTTGCGGATGTTTCTAAAATCAAATTACAAATCATTCATGTTTCAATGATGAATTCTTTTTTAACCTGCATTAGGGTGCATGGACGTTAGCTTGCTGTATATGATTACCGTCCGTGAACAGACTCGATCCATCAAACCGAGCTTCCAACATTTTAATTTTGCAGCTTTTTGAGTTGGTTTTTATGCCACCGCAGCATCTGCGATGCGGTGGCATATAGCGATTCACCTGTGTGTGTGTTTGTTTGTGTTGTGTGTGTGTTATATAGATTATATAGTGAACTTAAAAAATCTTCTTGTGAAAAAACCACTAGTCCAATTTCAACTAAACTTGGCAGGATTGATCCTTGGGTGAAGGGCTTCCAAAGTTGTTCAAAGAATTTCATTCCATGCAGAAATCTGGTTGCCATGGCAACCAAAAGGAATTATAAGAATAATTTAAAAAAATCTTCTTGTAAAGACAAAAGGCCTAGAGCTTAGATATTTTGCATAAGGCATTGTCTGGTAGACCTCTACCAAGATTGTTTCAAATTATAGCCCTGGGGTCAAAATAGGCCCCGCCCCAGGGTCATTGATTTTCACTATATGATACATATAGTAAAAACTTAAAAATACCTTCTTGTAAAGACCAAAAAAAGGCCTAGAGCTTTAGATATCTTGCATAAGGCATTGTCTGGTTGACCTCTACCCAGATTGTTCAAATTAATAGCCCTGGTCAAAATCTGCCCCGCCCCCAGGGGTCATTGGTTTTCCTTATATGTATATAGTAAAAACTTATAGTAAAAACTTAGAAAAAATTTCTTCTATCAGTTGACAAATGCTAAAGGTTAGATATTTTGCATGAAACATTGAGAAGTGAACTTCTAGCAAAGTTGTTTCAATATTATAGCCCTGGGGTCAAAATTGCCCGCGCCCCGGGGGGGTCATTGATTTTCAATATATACATAATAGTAAAAAAGTCAAAAAATCTTATCATCTGAAGGTACAAGGCTTAGAGCTTTAATATTTTTTAAATGATATCATCTATAGGTACTCTACCAAAGTTGTTCAAATTTTTGTCATCTAGTGTCAAAATTAGCCCCGCCCTGGGAGCCATAGGTTTCCTTATATGTATATAGTAAAAACTTAAAAAATCATCTTCTCTTAATTTACAAATGCTAGAGTTAAGATATTTTGCATGAAACATTGTGTAGTGAACCTCTATAATGATTGTACAAGTTATAGCCCTGGGGTCAAAATTGGCCCCATCCCCAGGGGTCATTGATTTTCACTATGTACATATAGTAAAAAATTCTAAAATCTTCTTGTCTGAAGGTACAAGGCTTAGAGCTTTGATATTTGATATATTATATCATCTATGGGTCCTTTACAAAAGTTGTTTTAATTATGCCCCTAGTGTTAAAATTGCCCTGCTCCAGAGGCGATAGTTTTCCTTATATGTATAAAGTAAAAACTTGAAAAATTTCTTCTCTGAATTGAAAAATCTTCTTCTTTGAATTGACATAGGCTAGAGGTTAAATATATGGCATGAGACTTTGCGAAGTGAACTTTACCAAGATTGTTCAAATTATAGCCTGGGGTCAAAAATTGGTTCCGCCCGGGGGTCATTGATTTTCATTATGTACATATAGTAAAAAAATAAAAAATATTTTTGTCTGAAGGTACAAGACATAGATTTGATGTTTGCTATGTAATATTATCTATAGGTCCTCTTCCAAAGTTGTTCAAATTTTTCCCCTGGTGTCAAAATTGGCCCTGCCCGGGGGCAGTGATTCTCAGTATGTACACATAGTAAAAACAGAAAATAAAACAAATGTTTTCTGAATGGGAGAAAGCTACAGCTTATATATTTGACTTGAAATGTTGTTTGGTGGACCTGTATCAAGATTGTTTTGAATTAAACCCTTGGGTTCAAAATTTTGCCTTGCCCAAGGGGACAGTGACCTACTTTCTTGTCCTTTGATGTACAGCAATGAAATTTTTGACCATGTGCACAGTTTTAGTTGTAAAATTGAACTTTGATATCAGGTGACCTAGATTTTGATGATGTGACCTACTTTCTTGTCCTTTGATGTACAGCTATGAAATTTGAACCATGTGCACAGATTTAAGATGTAAAGTGAACTTTGATTTCAGCTGACCTAGATTTTGACAAAGTGTCTTACTGTGTTGTCCTTTGATGTAGTCATGAAATTTAGGCTGTGTGAAATATGACCTTCACCACCAAATTCACTAGACTCGCGTGCATTGATATATTCCTACTCTGATCTTTTATTGAGTTAACAACAGATTTAACCACTTATCTGATAATAAGAATTAGATTATTTATAAGGTCAGGGATCTATGCATTATGACAATCTTCAAAATTGTATAGAAACAAAAAAAATCTGTTCCTACACCACTATTTAGTATTGTATTAATGCGGTGGCATAGCATTTTTCTCAAATGCAATCTTGTTTTTTATACTGATTTTCTTTATTGTTTAATATGCAGCTTATATCAGTGCTAAGAGATTTTGAGTTGTTGTACTTTTAATTGTCTCTAATTAACACATGGTCATAAAATCAAATCGTATATACCGATTTTACTTAATAATTATTATTCCTCTTGAGTGGTCTTCCACTTACATTAACTTGTCGAACAAAGTTTTCTCAGCTTGCGTGTTGTTTGTTAATAAGTATAAAATGAAGTTGTAGATTTTCAACCAAAATTACCTTGAAGGCTTATAATTAGATAATATATTAGAATTCAATTGATTATATTAACAAAATTACCTTGAAGGCTTATAATTAGATAATATAATAGAATTCAATTGATTATATCAATTGTCATCAAAACAATCCTATACATTTGTGTATCAAGTCGTCCCTAGATAATATAGTCAATCATTTTAGCCGGTATTTTGACATGCGCTATCGTGTCGTAATTTGCATAATGAAATTGATCATTTAGGTCTTATTTCGGCACTTTTGCTAAAACCTTCGTCAACTTCTGTGCTCCTATCACAAGAAGATAACAAGCAAAGACTTTAAAAAAATTGACAATTACTGATGTCCACTGACTTTTAACACATGTGATTATAATTGAGTGAAGAAACATTATATATCATGGCGAATGGAAGTCAAAATATTTTTTTTGACAATGAGGAATATTTGATGATGGTGAATGAAAGTATAGGTATATATATTGATAATGATGAAAATTTAATGACGGCAAATGGAAGTACAAATATATCTATTGACAATTATGAATATTGGAGCTACGCTACAAACTTTGAATTTCCGGAACCGTATAAAACTATACGGAATTGTGTAAATTGGGCAATAATTGGTTTGGTTTTACTATCGCTTTTCGGAAACATTATGATAATTGCAGTTATGTTACGGAAGCAGAACAGAAAATCTTCAACATCAACGTTCTTCATTGCTCTAGCAGTTTCTGATATGTCTCTTGCATTGTCAGTCTCGTTCGAGAGATGGTTGCATTGGATAAATAATATAAGCTTGTACGGCATACACTCTTACATAACGACCACAAAAACTATCTTAACCTATTCGAACATTCAGTTTTCGTCGTGGATGCTTGTTTGCATAACTGTTGAAAGGGTACTAAGTATCGCCATGCCGTTTAAAATCAAGGAAATTTGTACAAAAGCACGCGCTGGTGTTATTATATTTATTGTCTGTGCTGTTATTTTATGTCTGAATACGATCGAGTTTACGGTAATAGTTGGCGTTCGATTCAATGAAGATATTGGTATCATATGGATAAAAAAGGTAGATGATGGTGACAAGATTATTGCCTGGATGGACTTTGTAAACTCTTTTTTTATTCCAATCATCTTCATCGTAATTGGCTCAGTTTATATCATCGTTAATCTACTTCGCGTTAATGTAAACAAGCAAGTTACCAACAAAAATCGTAACAGGTCAGTTACCATGACCTTGCTGGGAGCAAACATCGTCTTTGTCTTAACTATGTCTCCATTTGTACTCTTTCATCTTATCGTTCCTAGTACAGAGGGAATGAACATTTCAATATATCTGTTTTGGACTATGGCAGAAATTTTCATGTTTCTCTCGGATATGAATTGTGCTCTTAATTTCTTTGTATATGTGCTAAGTGGGGCTAAATTTAGATCAGATGTGATGCTGTTACTCGGACTTAAAGAATCAAATTGAAGAGGAGATTAAAAAGGCTTGATTCAATACTATCTTACACAGACGGTATTGTTGAGGTAAAAAAACAACAATTTACATAGCTCGGGTGTTAATATGAAGTTATGAACAGGAGTGGTTCGTTTTTTTATGTGCCGTTCGGAGAACATGGACATTTATGATATAGACGACTCCTAAAATCTTACGAATGCAACACGTTCTGAACAGTGTAGGCCGCGTGTACAATTTTATTTGAAAATTACAAAATATTTATTTCAATCTTTGCATGTTCTGTATTTCAGTACTTGCAGCATTTATTTCCTATACAAAGGATAAAAACTACAATTACGAAAACAACATACGGCTTTGCAAAAGTGTTTTTGTTTGTTATTAAGTTACACTGACATTTTTTAATTACATTTCAGCGACTTTCCAGCTCTACTGGTAGAGAATGTAGAGGGAGACTTTAGCTCAATTAAGTGACGCTCCGTGTGTGCTTTATTTTAGGCAGAGTAGAACTGAAGGGTCAATCAAATAATATTCAGAAAAGTTTCTTGGTTTATCTTCGATTTGTATTCCTTTTGTTCATCTGTGAGAGATCTGAAATTACTTCACTCTGTACTCAGATTAAAGAGTGCAGTATACATGTATTTTTAAAAAAAGGAAACAATTTTCATAGAATATACTCTTCACGAAAAGACTATATGAATTGTACATACATTTGTAATCTTGAAGGATATAAGGCTATATCTACTGTTAATTTAAAGGAAATTATATTGAAATTCATAATTTAATTTATAATCTTATGGTTGGTGGTAAAACAGTATGTTCACTAAAATGACCTCTTTAATTAAAAATAAGTTAACGAAATTTTAAAACCTTGTGATATAACTGTAGTGGTGGTAGGTGTTAATTGTTTTATCCTAGGTCTTAATGTAGTCTGAGCTTTATTTAATGTTTGTTTTGTTTTCCTATAACGCATGTTTTGTTCGTTATATCCTTTTATTTCTGCAACGTAAATGCTGCAGAAGAGAGGCAATTTAAATAACTTCCTGTCTAACTGAAGTGATCAAACTGTATGCGCATTTTTAGCTCACCTGTCACAAAGTGACAGGGTGAGCTTTTGTGATCGCTTTTCGTCCGGCGTCCGTCCGTCCGTCCGTCCGTCGTCCGTCCGTAAACTTTTACTTTAAATGACATCTCCTCATAAACCACTAAGCCAATTTCATCCAAACTTCACAGGAATGTTCCTTTGGTGGTCACCTTTAAAAATTGTTCAAAGAATTTAATTCCATGCAGAACTCTGGTTGCCATGGCAACCGAAAGAAAATTTTTTAAATATCTTCTTTTAAAAAACCATAAGAGCTAGAGCTTAGATATTTGGCATGAAACATCTTCTAGTGAGTGTCTACCAAGTTTGTTCAAATAAAAGCCCTGGGGTCAAAATTGGCCCGCCCCAGGGGGTCATTGATTTTCCCTATATGTATATAGTAAAAACTTAAAAAATCTTCTTTTAAAGAACCCAAAGAGCTAGAGCTAAGATATTTAGCATGAAACATGTTCTAATGGGTGTCTACCAAGTTTGTTCAAATAAAAGCCCTGGGGTCAAAATTGGCCCCGCCCCGGGGGGTCATTGATTTTCCCTATATGCATATAGTAAAAACTTAAAAAATCTTCTTTTAAAGAACTCAAAGAGCTATGGCTAAGATATTGAGCATCAAACATGTTCTTATAGGTGTCTACCAAGTTTGTTCAAATAAAAGCCCTGGGGTCAAAATTGGCCCCGCCCCGGGGGGTCATTGATTTTCCCTATATGCATATAGTAAAAACTTAAAACATCTTCTTTTAAAGAACCAAAAGAGTTAGAGCTAAGATATTTAGCATGAAACATGTTCTAATAAGTGTCCACCAAGTTTGTTCAAATAAAAGCCCTGGGGTCAAAATTGGCCCCGTCCCGGAGGGTTATTGATTTTCCCTATATGCATATAGTAAAAACTTAAAAGATCTTCTTTTAAAGAACTCAAAGAGCTATGGCTAAGATATTTAGCATCAAACATGTTCTAATAGGTGTCTACCAAGTTTGTTCAAATAAAAGCCCTGGGGTCAAAATTGGCACCGCCCGGGGGTCATTGATTTTCCTAATATGTGTATAGCAAAAACTTAAAAAATCTTCTTTGAAAAAACCCAAATAGCTAGAGTTAAGATATTAAGCATGAAACATCTTTTAGTGAGTGTCTACAAAGTTTGTTCAAATAAAAGCCCTGGGGTCAAAATTGGCCCCGCCCCAGGGGGTCATTGATTTTCCCTATATGCATATAGTAAAAACTTAAAACATCTTCTTTTAAAGAACCAAAAGAGTTAGAGCTAAGATATTTAGCATGAAACGTGTTCTAATAGGTGTCTACCAAGTTTGTTCAAATAAAAGCCCTGGGGTCAAAATTGGCCCCGCCCCGGGGGGTCATTGATTTTCCCTATATGCATATAGTAAAAACTTAAAACATCTTCTTTTAAAGAACCAAAAGAGTTAGAGCTAAGATATTTAGCATGAAACATGTTCTAATAGGTGTCTACCAAGTTTGTTCAAATAAAAGCCCTGGGGTCAAAATTGGCCCCGCCCCGGGGGGGGGGTCATTGATTTTCCCTATATGCATATAGTAAAAACTTAAAAAATCTTCTTTTAAAGATCTCAAAGAGCTATGGCTAAGATATTTAGCATCAAACATGTTCTAATAGGTGTCTACCAAGTTTGTTCAAATAAAAGCCCTGGGGTCAAAATTGGCACAGCCCCGGGGGTCATTGATTTTCCTTATATGTGTATAGCAAAAACTTAAAAAATCTTCTTTGAAAAAACCCAAATAGCTAGAGTTAAGATATTAAGCATGAAACATCTTTTAGTGAGTGTCTACAAAGTTTGTTCAAATAAAAGACCTGGGTCAAAATTGGCCCCACCCCGGGGGTCATTGATTTTCTTTATATGTGTATAGCAAAAACTTAAAATCTTCTTTGAAAAAACCCAAATAGCTAGAGTTAAGATATTAAGCATGAAACATCTTCTAGTAAGTGTCTACAAAGTTTGTTCAAATAAAAGCCCTAGGGTCAAAACTGGCCCGGCCCCAGGGGTGTCATTGTTTTTAACTATATGTGTATAGTAAAAACTTTAAAAAAATCTTCTTTTAAAAAGCCCAATGAGCTAGAGCTTAGATGTTTAGCATGAAACATCTTCTTATGGGTGTCTACCAAGTTTGTGCAAATAAAAGCTCTTTGGTTAAATTGGCCCTGCAATGTTGGGGGGGGGTGGAGGGCCTATATACAGGTGAGCGACCTCAGGGCCATCATGGCCCTCTTGTTTACTTTATGCTATTCCTCTTGATAGCTCTCAAATATTACCAGTCTCACCATAAACTAACGGGTCTTAAGGCTTAAAATGAGGTGAAAGATGAATGAAAAAAATTATCTGGAAGGCTTTAAAATATTTTATAACTAAATCATTTCAAAATAACCGAACACATTCATAAATTGACTCGTTCTCAGGCAGTTCTTGCGAAAGCATTCGTTTAAACCTCAATGTCGTGCCCTGATTGCCCTGTAATTTTTGCTGTATAATAATCATTATTGTAGTATGACGTTCAATTTCTGTGCTGACAAAAAACAACAACAACAAACAAACAAAAAACAGACTTCTTGTCACCCATAACTATAATGAATCATGTCAAATGATTTTTCAATAATACCAGATCTTAATCCTAGGAAAGATTCTCTTGCAAGATGGAAACTCATGTGATCAATGTACGAATATGAATACATGGAACACACCACAAGCTTTGCTCAGCTATCAGCCAGTGATTGAGAGATATACCCAATTCAGCCTACCTTGACGAATTTCATAAATCTATTCACGAAAATCAAAGTTACTGACATCTAGTTTTGAAAAATCTTCATTGAAATATGCATTATCAGTTGACCAATTACATAAGCAGCAAAAAAAGTCAACGAACATGTTAAAGGTGACAGCAGATACTTGTGATTCATGGACCATTTGTCTGGCTATCTGGTGATGCGTTATGCATGCATACAATTACGTAGACTTTTAATGGTTATAACTTTTTCATTTGTTTTACTTATTTTCAAACAATCCAACAAGGAAAACACTAAGATTTTTTTGTTTTTCTACATCAAGTTTAACAAGAACGAAATACATGTAATGAAGAATTAAAACGTGCACGTACCTATCTTACGGCGTCATACGTTGATGTCATGTGACGTCACAATAAAGACAACGCTTTTCAAAATACGCGACGTTGTACTCGATGTAACTTTTGTGACGGTAACTCCATTAGCTATGAAATTTTAATTCAAATTATTTAATTATCTCAAGAAACAAATCTCCTTCTCCAGCGCAGTGCTTTCGTGCATTTTTAACAATGACATTTTCTTGATATATTAGAACATTTTTTGAACATTCAATATTGTTATGACCAACCCTAAAATGTATTTGCTACATTAATTAATAGCTTACTGCAATTAAGCATACTTTTATGCATATTGTTCGTGTTGAAAAAACACTTGGTGGACAATTTTGATAAATAAAGTCTTTTATTCCTTCTAAAAAGAGATATTGTATACACATTAATGAAAAATCTAAATTCAGCTGTTATTACTGCTGACTAACGTTTTAAATTTCTGTCTTGATATTTCTTGCTCCAAAACCTGTAAGCATATGAAACACATTTTATAAACTAGCAGGTTAAGGATCTGTATCGCTAATGTCGGCTGACCAAGTTTAATCTTTGTTCTCGTAGCCCAACACATCATCTCTTTGCCAGTTTATAGTAAGAACTTTTCGGACATAAAATGATCACCTTTTGGACGTAATTAAAAAAAAATGGTATTCCGTAAGTGTGTCGCCAGGATTAAATAACAACCAAGCTAATTTAAATAAACAATAATCTTTTAATCAAGTCTAAATTATGAATGTATTAGGTAAATGAATGGAATGTTTATTATATAATTTTCAAGGAATGATT